GGGGGGGGGGGGACCCAAAACATACTGCTTTGCACCTCTTTCAGATAAGGCTTTAAGTATGGCATCACTTTCCCTATAAAAATTTCTCTTTAATAAATAATTTTGTGTATACAGGAAGGCACACATCTAATTCACTCAACATTTTTATCTGAATGCAAACCAAAGATGCTCCAAGACAGTATCCAGCTTTGTCATTTGGAATAGAAATCGAACAAAATTTTATTGGTCACTCCAATCTGTCCATGACATTAATAAGGTTTTATAACAGGAACTAAAAAACAAACAACAACAAAAGGTAGCAATGATATAAAAGCAGCAACTACAATCTACTGTCTGCATTCTATATGGTATAAGTCCACTGAAAACTTTTCATTTTTTTAAACATAATCTCTGAGCTACCCTTTAGGATAGAGTCTATAGTAGGCAGAATAATGGCTCCTGAGAGATGTTTATACCTCATTCCCTGAAACCTGTAAATGTTGTCCTACATGTGAAAACGGACTCTGTAGATGTGATGATGGATCTGGAGGTGGGAGATTATCCTGGGTTACTTGGATAGGCCTATTGTAACAAGGATCCATATAAGAGAGGCAAAAGGACCAGAATCAGAGAACACGTAAGATAGAAGCAGAGGTCATAGTGAGGGGGAGCGATCTGAAGATGCTCTGAAGATGGCGTATGGGGCCAGGAGACAAGGAATGCAGGTGGCTTCTAGAAGGTAGAAGAGGTTAAGAAAACAAAGTACCCAGTAGACCCTTCCAAAAGAATGCCGCTCTGCCAACACCTTGATGCTAGCCCTATGGGGCCTAGTTCAGATTTCTGACCTCTAGGCTACAAAGAAAATACACTGATGCTCTTGAAATCAGTAAGCATGCAATAGTTTGTTATAGCAACAATAGGAAAGCCATGCAGGCACAGTAATTCCTATCCATAGGGTACTGAAGCTAGAGCCAGGGCTGTACCAGAGACATGCATAATCATTATGTATACATCTTCTATGAAGAGTTGACATTTATTTTAAATTTGTATCATAGTTAATTTCCACCTATTAGAATTCAAGTGTTAAGATCAGATAAATGTCACTTAAAAATAGAAAAAAGTCACATCATTTCCTCCTAAAAGGCACTGCATGATTAATAGTGAAAAGCTATACTTTATATCTTCCTATTTCTAATGTAAGATACTAAACAGATAATATTTTTAAAAATTGAGAAAAGGGCAAATCAACAATTAGGATGTATTAAAAGTAAGAGTAGTTCCTACATTAAAGAGTCAAAGAATAAACCAAGGCAAATCTCATTTTGAAATGAAGCTATTAAACATTTGGCAAACAGAGCAAACCAATGATGTCGAAGGTAAACTATAAATAAAAGCCATGAGAGAGGAGGATCAAGTCTGCATCTGTTTTTGCTTACTGCCATATCTCTAGGCACATCGCAGAGTGCACAGTAATACAAACAAGGTTACCCTAAAGAAGATCTCCCTTTCCACAACATGGTAGAGTATACTTATTGCCATCGAGTAAATGCCTACTGATACCAGCTTCTAGGAAAGCAACCCTTTAGGACAGGGTAGAAATGCCCCCGTGAGTTTCTGAGATTGTAACTCTTTACGGAGGAAAATGCCCTGTCTTTCTTTTGTGGAGCAGCTATGAGGTTCGAACTGTTCACATTAAGGTTAGCAGCCCAACGGGCAATTACTATGCTATCAGGGCTCCCTTGGTACAGCATATGGACTCAAAAAGTCATGGGCCCTTATTCAGTTAGTATTCCCCAGCTATATTTCTTAAGTAGAAGTTTTTTTGTTTGTGTTTTTAAAAGTAATTCTTTGGATCTGCCTAGGTATAAAACTCTAAGGAATAGAATAACAAACACAAGGCAAATTAAATACAAATAGGATGCTTTTTGCTGAAGCAAAATTGCTTCATGTAGTTTTTGTTTTCTCTATATAATGAATCAACTCAAAGACAACCACTGAGTTATCACTTCATTAAAATTACCATCAATTCCTACTGCATATAAAGGAATGCATTTCACACAGATATCCACAGTACATAAGGTTTCTAAGTAGTTTCATGAGAAATAATTGGGAATTATCTTAATTCAAAAAAAAGAAAGAAAGGAAATGTATACATGAAAAATAGAGATCTTTTACCTCTTAATTGAAAGATTCTTGGAAACCTTTTTGAAAAATTCTGCTTCAGCATTCTGGCTTTCAGCAGTCATTTCAAAGTAGATTGGATTCTTGTCGGAAGATTCAGCATTCTGAAATGAAGTAGTTCACACTTTGAGACATGGCTTAAATAAAACACCAGAGATTCTAATTAGACAAAAAGGCAACTGTGAGCCAC